CGACCACTGATAGGAGACGCGGAAGGTATTAAACTGATCAGAACAATACTAAACACACCACTCCTATCTGGTGGCACATTAGCTTGACCGCGCAGTGCCCCAAATTTGAATTAAGAGGACCGACCAAGCATCTTCTTCCATCTCCCTGTTACAGAAATCACTGCCATATCCATACAAATTGTACAGAATGTCAGGATAGTTTTCCAGGGACAAATGTTGTCGCCTGTTGAACGAGGTGACCTTGCTCGGGTCCCAGGTGTACGGTTCCTAAAATGGCTGCCATATACACGTCCACTGATAGGAGACGCGGAAGGTATTAAACTGATCAGAACAATACCAAACACACCACTAATAAGGTTTCTCTCCTGTATGGCTCCTCAAATGATGCTTAAGATTAGAAGCGGCTGAAAAGCATTTCTCACACAGGTATTAAACTGATAAAAATAGTACTAAACACACCACTCCTATCTGGTGGCACATTAGCTTGACAGCACTTGAGTGCCCCAAATTTGCAGTAAGAGGACCGACCAAGCCTCTTCTTCCATCTCCCTGTTACAAAAATCAATGCCGTGTACACGACCACTGATAGGAGACGTGGAAGGTATTAAACTGGTCAGAACAATACTAAACACACCACTCCTATCTGGTGGCACATTAGCTTGACCGCGCAGTGCCCCAAATTTGCAGTAAGAGGACCGACCAAGCCTCTTCTTCCATCTCCCTGTTACAAAAATCAATGCCGTGTACACGTCCACTGTTAGGAGACGCGGAAGGTATTAAACTGATCAGAACAATACTAAACACACCACTCCTATCTGGTGGCACATTAGCTTGACCGCGCAGTGCCCCAAATTTGAATTAAGAGGACCGACCAAGCATCTTCTTCCATCTCCCTGTTGCAGAAATCACTGCCATATCCATACAAATTGTACAGAATGTCCAGGATAGTTTTCAGGGTTAAAATGTTGTCGCCCTGTTGACGAGGTGACCTTGCTCGGGTCCCAGATTATGCGCGGTTCCTAAAATGGCTGCCATATACCTGCGTCCACTGATAGGAGAGGCGGAAGGTATTAAACTGATCAGAACAATACTAAACACACCACAAATAAGGTTTCTCTCCTGTATGGCTCCTCAAATGATGCTTAAGATTAGAAGCGGCTGAAAAGCATTTCTCACACTCCGAACAAAAATATTTTTTTTTAGCATTCTCTCCACTTTGAACGAAATGACGTTTGGGAAGAGATTAACATAATTAAACACAGGCAGTAAAAATACAGTTTTTAGCCATACCCTGTAACTTTAAAACTACACATCCATCTTCATAATTACATATTTGGAATCAGCACACTTAAAACATAAACATAACCAAAAATCAGCCAAATCCATCCAGGGGTTAAAAAGTTAGCTGGAGGTCCCTTATGACCGACTGCAAGCACATTTTCCTGCCCAAAACAGTTCCATAGATTTGGGCTGTGAGGTCGGTCTATTTCAGGCTGAAAAAACGACTAAGTCCCATCGCTAATGGGACTTAGTCTCTGCAGCTGAAATAAGGCTGAAAAAAAGACTAAGTCCCATCGCCGAATGGGACTTAGTCTCTGCAGCTGAAATAATTTCCCATTTACTGAACCAAGTGGGAAATAGCAAGGCAGGCACAAGAAGGGTTTGCACCAGGTCTGGGGACACAGGGGACACCGTCTTAAAGGGGCCGTGTCCCCAACAAGTCTGGGGACACGGCCTTAAAGGGGCAGTGTCCCAATCTTCCTGATGTCCCAAAAAGGTGTTTAAAGGGCCAGCACCAGTCACATAAAGAGTCCATAAGCCCCAATATGCCCACCGACAGTCTTAAAGGGCCATACACACCAAATAAAAGTGCATACATTTTCACAATCTCCCAGGGGCCATAGTCATGCGGGAGGAGGCTGGCAAAGAGGCTTCTCCACAACCCAGGGAAACAGGGCAATTTGCCATTTAAAGGGCCCGTTACAAATAGCAGTTTGTAACAAGGTGTCAATCCATATCTGCCAAGTGACCCGATGTAGGGGGAACAGTCCCTATTCTGCTCTGTGTCAGTGTGTATCAGGGATCCTTAGGACAGGTGTCAATCCATATCTGCCAAGTGACCCTATGTAGGGGGACCAGTCTCTATTCTGCTCTGTGTCTGTGTGCATCAGGGGCTCTGAGGACAGGTGTCAATCCATATGTCAAGGTGTCAATATGTCATATGTCAGGTGTCAATCCATATTGATTGTGATTTAGGAATGTTAGGTGATTTCTGCCCTTTATGGATTAAAACCAGACTCTGTATCAACTGTGTAATTTTCCATGGGAGTTTTGCCATGGATCCCCCTCCGGCATGCCACAGTCCAGGTGTTAGTCCCCTTGAAACAACTTTTCCATCCCTATTGTGGCCAGAAAGAGTCCCTGTGTGTTTTAAAATTCGCCTCCCCATTGAAGTCAATGGCGTTTCGGGCGGTTCGCCGGTTCGCGAACATTTGCGGAAGTTCGCGTTCGCCGTTCGCGAACCGAAAATTTCGGGTTCGCGACATCACTATTGAGAGATACAGCAGAATAATTGTAATAATTGTTATCTGTAGAGTATAATTAAGTTATATATTTAAGATAAAAGACTTCCAATAAGAATATTTCAAAAAATATTTCCCAAAAATATTTACAGTAAAAATGTTTAAACGTTTATATATATGGTTCTTATCTTGCGTTTTGGCCAATATAAACTACGAGCATGATACATGGATGGTAGCGTTTAAAAAGGAGGACTCAAGATTTAGATGGGCAGGCATCAACCGTCCTGAAATGGTTCAATTGGGTGATGGATACACACTTCGATATAGGTGGTCCCAAAATAGTTACGTTAAAGAAAGGATTATATTCAGGCTAGAACCTGATCTTAAAGGGGTATTAGGATTCTATTTCCACAGAGAATAATTGTCTGCAAAAAGGTTACAGTGGGAAGAAACAATAAAAAGGAACAATTAATATGATGGGTGATTATGGTGTTGAAATTGAATTAAAAGATCTAATAGATCAAAAAATGTGAAGGGTAGCTAATCTTAACATCTTATTATATGTGATATGAGAAGTCTTATTTGGTATCCCTTAAGTTATTAAGAGAGACTTGTTGGATATGAACCCAAAGATTGTTAGTGTATAGAAAAGAGGAGAATGTGCAGAAATATACGTATATATATTGTGTGTGTATGGTTTAATATATACCATGTGCAGGTAGATGTATGAACATTATGCTCAAACTAGCGTGAAGTAGAACATTAATGTAAAAAAAAAATGAAAAAAAAAAATTATTGTTATAATAAAATTGATTAGAATTTTTATAAAAAAGCATTAAGTTCAAAGTCTATATTTAGACCTTTGGGAACAAGGGTCTCCAAATTAAATATCCATCTTGCTTCCATTTGATCCAGATTTCTTTCCAGATCTCTGCCTCTCCAGTGTACATTTACTTTTTCAATGGGTAGGAATCTCAATCCTGTGGGATTTCCTCCATGGAATTCTTGGAAGTGCTTTGAGAGGTTATGTGTTTGTAGTCCTCTCTTGATATTACGAATATGTTCTGCTATTCTAGTTTTTAAAGGTCTCTTAGTTCTTCCCACATATTGTTTGGAGCAGGGACATGTAATGAGGTAGATTACTCCTGTTGTATTGCAATTCATATTCGTCTGTAAATTATGTTCCTCCATGTTAGTTGTGGATTTAAATTTTGTAACTTCTAATTCCAGGGACGGATTATTTTTACATGCTATGCATTTAGCACATCTTCTAAAGCCTTTATTGACTGATTCATTCTGTGTATTTTGGAGTGATTTTAGAGTTGGGGCCAACAGAAGCTGTAGGTTTGGTGCTTTGGTAAAAATTATCTTTGGTTTGGGATCTAAGATGTTTGTGAGTGTGGGATCACTTCTAAGAATATCCCAATGTTTCGTGAGAATCTTCTCTATACTACGAGATTGATGATTGAATTTAGTTATAAAGGCAGGTGTTGCTTCATAGGTATCTAAAATCTTGATTCTATTCTTCAGAGTATCTTCCCTTGGAATATTCTTAGCTTTTTGCTTGGCTTCAGTGAGTAGTGTTGTGGGATATCCTTTGACTCGGAATCTCTGCTCCATCTCTTCCATTTGTTCCTCACATGTCTCCATTTTGGAGCAATTCCTTCTAATCCTTCTGAATTGATTATATGGGATATTTTTCAACCAAGTGTATTTATGATGGCTATTAAAAGGGATGAAACTATTGCAATCCACTGATTTCTTAAAGGTTTTGGTGTGTATCCCTCCGTCTTCAATGTAGACATTTAGATCTAAAAATTCAATCTGTTGTTGGGAATGGTTGAACGTGAATTTTAGATTATATGGATTGTTGTTGAGGTAGTTTTTGAACAATTCTAGAGATTCCAGGTCCCCTTTCCAAATAAAAAAGAAATCGTCAATGTATCTGCGCCATTGGGACAGATTTGCATCAAATGGGCAGTTGTTCAATTATTGTTATCATCTGAATATATTTTTAATATTTTTATATTACCCAATAAACTTTGTATTAATTTCAATTTTATAATCCTACTTATTGATTTATATACCTTTATTCTTTTTCACTATTTTAAGTGATACGGTGATTTACACCTTAGTACCACTGTATATTCATTATACTAGGTTTTTATTTTTGTCACAGCGTGTGATATTGGCATATATTTTGTCCCATTTTATAAGTCACAGATTTAAAGATATACATACAACATAGGAAACAGCTCATCATACTGTTTTCCTATATCTCCTCTACAGTTTTTATCTTTGAATTATAAGTAGAGTATTTTTGGTGTGTAGCAATTTAACACCCCATATATGCAAATACTGTGTAATTTCCCTAATTATCTGGACATAGAGAAGCCTTTTTAAGTGAACTGACTCCTGGACCCCATTGCACCCAATTTTAGGTGCATACCAAACCACTTTTAGCTTTAGGCAGAATATTTGGTGGAACTTCTGCCCACATCCAGTTTTGAGACTTTTCACTACAAGTGTGACTCCCTCATTTCTGGGTGTTGCAATAGGCATACAAGACCATTTAAAAACAAATCTATGATTGAAAGATTTCTGGGTGGAGAATTTCTAGGACAATAAGTATTGTCAACACCAGGAACATTATTTGAAGAATTATTATAGAACTTCATGGTTGATAACACATCCTTTGAATGAGACTTATAAGTAGTGTTGGTATATTTTAGGTAGTGAGAGCCTACTGAATATACAAATTAAATACTATGATTGTAAAGTACTGATGCAATCATCACTAGGTGGTATTAATGGTATAGGAATGTAATTCATGAATACAAATGACCTAAAGATTTTAAGGTTGCTAGAAACCATATGATTCATGGAAATCTAATTGGACAGGATATTATAGTAATACACGTATTAGTACTTAAATAATATCAGGTATTGAGAATGAAAATACTTTGTTATATGTGTCTGTAGGAATATGATAGTGATACACAGTTATTATTATTTAGAAAGTTATCATCTTGTTTTTGTTATCTACAAAGATACGACTGTACCAGAGCAGGTTGATCTTTCTGATTGCTTTATTGTTTATTGGATTCTATTGACAAAGGAGCAGACTATATTTAAAAGAAGAAAAACTACCACAACAAGAGGACATAGTCTTAAATTAGAGGGACAAAGGTTTAAAAATAATATCAGGAAATATTACTTTACTGAGAGGGTAGTGGATGCATGGAATAGCCTTCCAGCTGAAGTGGTAGAGGTTAACACAGTAAAGGAGTTTAAGCATGCGTGGGATAGGCATAAGGCTATCCTAACAATAAGATAAGACTAGGGACTAATGAAAATATTTAGAAAATTGGGCAGACTAGATGGGCCGAATGGTTCTTATCTGCCGTCACATTCTATGTTTCTATTTGTAAATATTTTATTCATTTATTATTGTTATATATATGTACATATTATGTTCAAGTAGTTATGATGTAACATGGATATGGATATCAATACATAGCTGAAACAAAGGGAGTTTGAAGTAAAGTAAGCACTATGAGGGATAGAAACTCGACCTTCTAAGAACTCTTATATAATAGAATGTGATACAAGTGATGTATGAATGGACAGGTTAGTGACATTGTGTTATGGTTTTAAAACAAACCATAAACAGAGGGAATGTAGAATATTGCATATTCTATGTTTCTATTGATTATATATATGGATGTGTGGATTGACATAAGTAACAGATGGTATCAATAGGTCACAAGGCTTTCTTTCTTTAGTATTAGCACATCTATATAGTAACAGAGGGACACGAGGTCGCTCTCTGTCTTGGCTTGGCTCTTGGCTCTGTACAACGATGTAACTCTCCCATCAGAAGTCCAGCAATTACCATCTGCTGTTGAAGGTCCATAATCCTGTAACATCCTTTATTATGTTTTATTATGTATCCGTAACAAAGAATAAACCTGAAGAAACCGTAAGTCAGATTGCGTATTACTACTTTTCAATAATATAGACATATATTATTGTGGCGAGCATTTGGCCCAAGACTATATATACAAAAGACGTATATATATCAATCAACTGAAGACAAGAAGAAATTAAGAAGATTCTACATTACCACCGTTCCAAAGTACATTTTACAGAAAGCCAAACCCTTTCCCCCACGACATAGGATGGAGCCGCCCTGCGATTCTTGTCAGCTTGGACCTTTTGGCGAGCAGCAGAGTCCACCAAAGAACGCTGAACCTGTTCCCAGGTAGAACGTAAACCAGCCAGATGTTCATCCAGAACAGGCATGCCCTGTAAGGAGAATGCAGCCGGAAGAACAACAGGATGCTGGCCATAAACAACGTAGAAAGCTATTACCAGAAGATTCACGAGCAGCGTTATTACGAGCAAACTCAGCCCAAGGAAGCAGATCAGCACAATTGTTCTGATGGTGGGATATGAAACAATGAAGATACTGCTCTAGGGATTGGTTCGCACGTTCAGCAGCTCCATTAGATTGAGGGTGGTAAGCAG